GCAACACCCCCCTCATCATCGTTTGTATCTTGCTGGTCCCAAAAGTTGGCGAAGAATTCCTTCTTCCCTACCATGTACGCAATGACTTCAGCTCGCATCCTGCTGGTTGGCATCGGTTTATCCGTTCCCTTGTGCCACGCTACCGCTCGAGCAACACTGGCAGGCAAGCAGTTTCCATCACGGTCCATGGGGATCAACTTAGTCCCGCTCGGAACCTCTCGCAGACCAACCGCCTGACGTTTGGCATCGCCTTGCTCTTTGCCATCCGCGGCCGCTTGATTTCCTGCAACGGGCTTCTGCACAACCTTGAACGTTGACGCCTCAACTGCAATGGGGCTTTGCCGCGGTAAAGGCTGCCGCATCGAGGGTCCTCGAGCACTGGGCGTGGCAGGCAACAAGTAGTAGAACACTTTCTCCTGTGGCGGTTTCCCTGCTCAATCGGCACAGCAATGACATCCTCAGAAGAAGCACCGCGGATGAACCAAGTTGTGCGACCTTTGCGGGTAACCCTGCTAGTAACCGTCGCTTGCTCCAAACCCGCCGCGAGGACCAAGGCGGTAATCTCGTCCTGAGTCCACTCCTGCGGCACACTAGGCAAACGCCACGATCGAATCACCACCTCCTTGGCTTGGTCGACTCTGAGGCCCAGCTGCTTTCGACCGGCAACCAACCCCCAAGCCGGCTTCATGAGGATGCAACGTTGAAGATAGTCAGCCTCAGACTCGCCGTCATTGGAATCAATCCACTTGACCCCCAAAGTGGTGCCAGAGACCACTCGTCCCAAGGGTTCCCAAAACAAACCGCCAACACCACTCTTTTGAAGGAGAGCCTTGACATGGTCATCAGCGACGCGCACTAATGCCACCAGAGCAGCACCGCGCTTCTGTTCAATGGCACCTCCCCAAAGATCCTTAACCACCGCCGCGCGATGCATGGCGAAGCTCCTCAGATTCTCGTTGGCCTGATTCCAATCCTCTGATGGGGCCAACTGTTGGACAAGGATCAAACGCAACACCCGTAGGCGCCGCGTTGACTTTAAGAGTCTTCCTCTCACCCCGAAGCGTCGCCAGTGGAACCCTGGAAACTTCATATTTCAACATTGCGACCTTGTGAAGGGCCGCCCGTCCTTTCTGCCAAAATGGCAACCTCACATCGACAGACGATAAGCAAGGAAGACTTGAATTGTTTGCCCGCGGCAAGAACCTGCAGCACCTCTGCTTCATCACGATCCTTGGCTAACACAAGCAATGATTCGCCAGCCTGGGCATAGACCTCCAACTCCGCAACGGTGAGCACCTTGGCATGCACAGGTCGACGAGCTACCTCCTCAGCGGCTTTGGGTGCCCTTTTGCCGACACCCTTCCCCTTAGGGCCATCACTCGGGGCATCACTTGTCGCGGCCTTCGACCGACCCTTGTTTGACCCATCACTCGGGGAACCTGCCAAGGCAACAGGCCTAGTAGCATGAGCAACGCCGCCATGAGGATGAAGCACGGGTCCTTTAGCAGCATCATTGCCGCGACCCTTGCCTCTTCGCTTCTTCACTTTGACCCACTCCCCCTCCGGCTCTTCAATCTGAACTCTGCGCAGAGGTGCGGTTTCAGCTTGAACTTCATCCTGAACTTTCAGCCCTTTCGCAACAGCCTCAGCTGGTGCAACCAAGCCCTGAAGCTCACCACCTCCCGCTAACTTGGCGACCAACTGAATGAGAAGCTGCAGCAATGAGATAAGCACTGTCATCGGGCTTGGCCCTGGGTTCGTGGCCTCGCCAATGCGTTGCCCAGCATAGCCAAGCAGCCTTCGAAGCCTGCACACACACGAATAAAGATAGCCTTGCACAAAGAAGCCCCACATCACGTCGTGGTACGATATGTGAGAAATCTCGGCATGGAGGCCGCCGGTGTGCCCGTCAGCAGCGACCACAATGTTCTGAATGAGACCCTTCTGAATTTCGAATAACCGCAAAGCTTCCGCAATCCAGCTGTCTGTCTCTGCGGGCTCAGAGTCCGGGGTCACCGCGTGGAGGTAGCTGGCTTTCAAACCCCCTGCGTAGCTGCGATGTCCACAGTAGGCAAATTCGAGCCAAAGAGGGGCAGCGGAAGCAAGGGGTGAGGAGAGCGAGAGAGAGAGATCTACAGCATCACTGCATGTATAGCTGTCTACCTATCTACCTAATTTAACCGTCTGGCTAACTGCCTCTCTACCTGTCTATCTATCGACCGATCTGTCCATCTGCCTATCTGTCTATCTATCCGTCTCTCTGGGTGTGAGAGGTTGTGTGTCTGTGTGTGTATATATACACGTATATGAGCTTGTTTGTTGTTTTCAGTGCTTTGAGTGCTTTGTGCTGCGTATGTATTTGTGTAGGTGAGTATTGTCGGTATGTGTGTAAGTGTGCATTCTTCAGACAATAGTTCAAGGGTGGATGCTGGCGTTACATTACATACTTATAGTGTCCCTCAAGTTTACAGAGTCTACAATACACAGATACAGGACATACTTATAGTTTCCCGAACGATTACAAAGTATACAATACAAAGATACAACAGTTATCAACAATGCTAGGCTGGACGTTGACGCTACATTTACAAACTCGACAGTACAAAGATACAGCAATTCTACAAAGATACAACAATTCAAGGGTGGACGTTGGCATTACATACTTACGGTGTCCTAAAAGTTTACAAAACCTACAATGCAAAAATACAAAATACAGCAATTTGAAGTTTGACTTTGGCGTTGCATACTTATAGTGTCCCTCAAGCTTACAAAGACAATGGTATAACAACTTAAGAAGGACGTTGGCGTTACATACTTATAGACTTATAGTTTCCTTATAAGTTTTACAAATTCGACAATGCAAAGATACAGCAAGTTAAGGGTTGACAGTGGCGCTGCATACTTACAGTGTCCTTAAAGTTGACAAAGTCGACAAGACAAAGATACATTCTTGAGACTTTCATTGCTCTGCTGATGATGATGATGATGGTGTCATTGCAGGTTTCGAGCTTTTGGGTTCCGGTCAAGGCAAAAGGGGGTCCAGGGTCTCATGGCCAGAGCTCAGGAAGATGAACTCTGGGCGTTGCCTACATGGTACCATAGGAGCTTCACTACCTGCATAAAGAGTTACTATACTATTTTGGGGGCTCCTTAGTATATTTATAACAGAATGGGACCCAAAACCCACTCTCGTCGTGGTTTTGGTTCCAAAACCCTCCAAGGCCCTGGTTCCCACATGACATTGCTCCTTGCTAGCTGCTGGCAAGCTTCGTGTGCGAGTCGCCAGGCCGGCCGCTCCTGTCTACGTCTCCAGCACCCAAAGCTGCCACTTGGGAGTTTCCGAACATCAGGGGTACCTTATTATGGAGGTCCTTATAATAAGGATCCTACTATTTGGGGTACTATATTAGGGTCCCCTATTTTCGGAAACCCCACTTGGGGCTTTCTCGGGTTTTGGGGCTTCAGGAAACCAGAAGTCCCTGCCAGCCTTAAGCCCTGATGCCTCTCTGGGCCCTAAACCCAAACGCCCCGGATCCTAAACTCTGAGAGCCCTGGCGGGAGAGCCCAATATCTAAGTATTGAATATCCAGGAACCTTGTGAAGGATCCCGAACACAACTTCGGATACACTCCATGCTCTGTGGGCACAAACCCTGAGCAAAGTTGCAACAAGGAAGCAACAGCGAGGCTTAGGTAAGGCTGAGGTTGTCAAGGGCTCGGCTGTTTGGACTGACGGCTGGGATGGTTTGCCTCTAGGGTCTTTGCATTCCGGGTTTTCTTGCTACCAGTTGCAGCACTGGTAACAGTAGGAAGAATCGCAACAATGCCAAACAGAACCCGGTAGCCGTCAGAACAGTGACAACCCTATCTTCAGCTTGTGGAGCATCGCCTAAGCAGCGCAACCCTAAACTCGAGACCATGAGCCCCATCCTCAACCCTTGCAAGTGCTCCTGTATATCAGTTGGTGAAGCTGTCCAACCATATCGTACGCTCTTCTCAGAGTCCTCAAAATCCTTTGCTGGGTCGCAACACAAAGGAAAAACAAACCCAACACAACAACAAAAACCAACACACCAGCTCTCCCCCTATCCTCGAGTTCCGCCAGGCTTGTCTTCAGCACCCCTGCGAGCCACGTCCGGGCAAAGGTGGACTTCCTGGTCAGGGAGGCTGGGTTCTTGACAATTTAGGCTCCCGTAATCGGGATCTGTAGTTAACTAACATAGTTTAAACGAACGTCTTTAACAGGAACCCAGGTGGAGGTTCGCGGGTGGTAGCAATGGTGGGTGGTAGAAGCGCTGCTTGCGTGTGGCGGTCGTTGCGACACTACAAGCTGCAAGGTGCGGCGGTTTCAAGGGTGTTGCTCCTGCTCCTATCGCGAAACTGGAAACCCCACACTACAAGCGTCGGTCCCAAAGAAATCTACACGACTTCATTGAAAGATACCATGAAGAGCTGTATGATATACCAGTGTGAAGGCTAAAATACTACATCAAAGGCTCAGCAAAAAGTTTCAAGATGGATTCCTTCATCAAGAGTTTTGGGGGTTTCTGGGTGATGGGCCCTTTTCCAATCATCAAGCCCTGGACACCACCCCCAAAGTATGAACTTCGACTCAATCGGAAACCTTGAAGCTTCAACCTTCAACCGTAAGCCGTCAAAATCCAAAACCCAAAATCCCCAACCCCAAAATTCCACATAATTCCTCTCCCAATCCCACGAAAACATGTCGTATACCCTGAATCCTCGACCTTACGGTTGATGGACAAAATCCTGCATGACCTTATATACCTAAACTATGGGATTTATGGTACTATACTATACTATATTTGGGTCATGCAGAGTTTTGTCCATCAACAGTATGATTCCATAAATCCCTCGCAGGCGGTCCCGCAGCCAGGAGGTCCCCGCAGCAGCACGAGCAACTTCTCGCCTCCACCCACTTGGAGGTTCATGGGTAGTTATAAGTGGGGTTATAAGTAGGGTTTAGGGTTTAAGGTTTAGGGTTTAGGTTTAGGGAGTTATAAGTGAGGTTATAAGTAAGGTAACTATAGTTCTAACCCATATTAGGGGGCTTATAACCCCACTTATAACTACCCATGAACCTCTAAGCAGAGAGCCCAACACCCCGTAATTAAGGAACATACCTCGAAACCTTAATTTTAGGGCTTAAGTTTTAGCTTTGTAGGGTTGGATCAGGGCTTTAGGTTCTGGGGTCTAGGTTAATATGGGTAGTTCTCTGAATCAGGGTCCCTTGTTAGGTCCCCGGGATAATACGGCCCCCTTATAAGAATAAGGATCCTAAAAGGGATCCTAATTCAGAGAACTATTCCATACGAAGGGCCCGTTTTTTGTTAAGGCGTGTTCCTTCATTCGGAGACACATAAAACTCGTCTCTGTAAAGTGAAACTGAACAACCCTTAACCTCCAGGTACCTACTATGGAGGGTACTAGAGCCCCTAAGGCCCTTTTCAGTAGGTACCTGGAGGGTTAGGGCAATAGCTACACGAATTAAGGGATACCGAGCTCTCTTTGCAGGGACTCCCGGACTTGGGAAGAAGGAGTCACAAGGGCTTGGGTGATACAAGGCTTTAAAGGTCTCTTGTAGGGTTCGTAAGGGTTTTGTATGGTCTGGGGTTTACTTTTTTGGGTCTGGGGACTAAATAAGTAGGGTGTTAAGTATCTGAGCTGGGCTATATCCGTCGATGAAGCAAAAGCGATCTTGCGTTGCGCTACTAAGTCGCCTAATCCTCTAAATACGGTGGATGATATAGACCCTTAAGGTAATGCAGGATTTATATCATCAATAGTAGTGCAGGAATCCACCTTAAGTTGTGTTGAACATCAGAACAATCTTCAGGTGTTGCTAAACTGAAAGCTGTTGGACCGTTGGGTTCTCTGAGCAGAGACGTTTTCCTCGGGAGTGTAATGAACTGGCCATAACAAAGGCTTTACCGTGGGCTTACGAGGTTTGTAGGGTCTTAAACTTAGCTGTCTTCAGGTCTGTGGAGAAGCTCCCATAAAGCGGAAGGCAGGTGTTTATTCCCGATTGTGGATGATTCAAAACTGAGGTTCCTAAGAAGAGCCAGAGTAGACAGGGGCCTGCCTTAGCCACCCTAGGCCTTCAATGGGAATCTCTTCAAAAAGGTACTGTATCTTGACCGAGACCTTCTCACCTGCCACCGGGAAACATGGCAATAACCGTGACCATGGCAGCAACAACATCCATTGCAGCATCATCATCATCATCATCATCATATCATCATCATCATCATCATCATCATGACCGCAAGAAGCAGCGTTGATAGTGCGAGTTACAAATAGGTCGACAAGACTGGAAAACTCCCGGAAACCAGGAGCGTCTGAACCGCAAGCCCTACACACTGAAACTGTAAACCCTACGAACCAAAAAAACTCGAAACCCTTCAAATTCAATTTTAAGGGAGTTACTCATAAGCATCACACATAGGGACTCTCTGTCAATCTGCTTAGAGCCCACCGAGGCCTTGCCACAACAACTGCTCTTCGCTCGATATGACGCTTCCCTCCATGGCTCGCTTTCACCGTCGACGAAAGAAGGGAAGAGAGAATCTTCATGTCGCGAAAGAAGCCTACAGGTAGAAACTTCTGGTTATTGTTTTCGAGTGTAAAGAATCCTGCATACAGACATACGTGTTACTACATTCGTCATTCGTACAATTTAGTCATGCAGGAACTCCTAAGTGTCTCTGTGCGTGTGTGCATTTGGATGTATGTGTGTGTGTGTGTGTATGTGTGCATGTGTATGTGTGTATGTGTATGCATGTGTATGTATTCACGCATACCTGCATGTATGTACGCATGCACGCAGACAAGACCCTACAGACGGCATTATTAGTACACCAGGCCGTTGGGATACAATATACTGCACCTCAATTATATGGAGACATGCAAAGAAAGAAACTATCGCAGATGGTTTAGGCCCCTGAATTGGGATGCTCGCCTCTCTTTAAGCCTGCAACATCTGCGCAACATGAGTGGCTTCGGCAGGAATCGTCCCATGGTCCGATGCGTTTTAAGCACATAAGATCCTACAAAGCCGAGCGCCAAATTCAAAACTCGATTTCCTAACTCCGAAATTTCGGATCCCTACACCCTAAACCCAACCCGAAACCAGAGGCAGGCGGACTTTTTTTCGAGGCGAGGGAGCACCCCTGCTCTGGAGCGGCTTATCCCTGCCCAGGACCTGGGAAGAATGAGGCCGCTTCTAGGGTTGAAGGTTTAGGTTTAGGGTTTAGGTTAAGGGTTTAGGGTTTAGGGTTAAATTCCTACCCAAGAATTTGCGATTGCTGGAAAGTCGACTAGACACGTACTGGTTAGTTCCGCATAATTTGCATACGGGAGGACAAGCCAACGTCCAGCAGAGACAGCAATCATGGAAGCAGGAATGCATACATCTCTACAAACACATATACGTACATGTAGATACACCGTAGATACATGCATAAAACATAAGCAACTCAGCTTTGTGTATGATAATGTGCATGCATGTACATAAAGAGATGCGAAGGCCCACAAATGCACACTGTATGGGCCTACATAATCGGCGTCGGCGTTTAATATTGTATTATCATATGGGGGTTTCCGAATATAGGGGGGACCCAAATATAGTACCCTAAATAGTAGGACCCGAATTATAAGGACCCCCAAATAAGGTACCCCTTATTTTCAGAAATTCCCATATAGGGGCATGTCTGACATGTCCATTGCGGGCTCTGCAGTGTCTTGCCATGCTTGGGAGCAGAGAACGGCGTCGGAATAGTGATCATATTGGAGTTTCCGAAATAATGGGTACCTTATTTTGGGGTCCTTATAATAAGGATCCTACTATTTAGGGTACTATATTAGGGTCCCCTATTTTCGGAAACCCCCATATTGTGGAGAGCAGAGATTGACAGAAGAAAACTCATGCCACTCGTGGGGGCTGGGAGAATCTGACAAGCGAGTTCGATGGCAATGAACCTATTGAGAATAACGATGAGAAGCAAAGCTCATCCACCCTTCATGGGGTGATGCAAAAGATAAAAACACGGAAGTACTAACACTATGCGATGGAAGTCCGCAGCACAGCATCGCGATCGCTGATAATTCTGCGACCAAGCATCCACGATCGTGCCCTGATTAGCGCCGATCGGTCTTTCCAATGCCACGTTTGCCTCGGATCGCGAAAACTTCGTTCATTCGGGTTTCGGGTTTAGGGGGTTTAGGCTTCGATTCGGACATTTCTGAAGTGATATCTGTGGTTTATCGGAACATGTTGAGGTTTCGGCTTTGCGGAGTTCTCCGGGCTTGGTCTGGAGGCTTCTAGGCTGGGGTCTATATGGTCATGCAGCTGCGAATCTGAACTTCAAGACGAGGTCCTTCTGACGAACCCTTCCCGAAGTGAACCCGTTGAGAAGTCCAAGTGCAGATGCCCATGACAGTTGAATGCTGTCTCGAAGTAGGGGGTCCCGGTTGGGGTTCCTAACTCCACTGATGCGGGGTACCTGAGCTGAAATCCTACTAAAATAACTGCAAAGAGCTCTCCCGCAATTCACAGCCAAGGGGCCAGAATACAAATGCTTGGGCTTGAGGTCGGGGACCCACTTGTCCGCCTCGGAGCACAGCATGCAACCACCAAAGGAAGAAGCCTAACACATTATGATTTAACTTTCACACTGTACTATACTGTACTAGACTGTACTGTGCTATACTATACTACACTATACAATGCCATGAACATGTTCGGAACACCGATCCTACGTAGAAGAAAGATCGTCGTTCCAATCGATTGGCCGCCACCCTGAAGTTTCGCAGGTTTCAGCTAGGAC